TAAAAGGAAGGTTGGGATTACTTTGTGGGGTCAAAAGCAATACATTTCTAATACTTTGTATAAATTGCTTATTTCTTGACCAATTTCAATGGGGTTTAATTCATAGTCTTGAATTCTTGGGGTTCTCTAATATGCTGAATCTTGCCTTATATTTAGATTTTGGGCCCTGTTTTTTTTATATTGGTCCACATTGAGGTCCAAAGGGTAAACACTTAAACTATATTTGATATCATCAAAAATTGAAATCTTGGGATTCTTTGATATACTAAATCTAACCATGTATTTAGATTTTGGACTTTTGGGCTCTGTTTTCAAATTGGTCCACATTAAGGTCCAAAGGGTCCAAAATTAAACTTAGTTTGATTTAAACAAAAATTGATTTCAAGGGGTTCTTTGATATGCTGAATCTAAACATGTATTTAGATTTTTGATTTGGACCCAGTTTTCAAGTTGGTCCAAATCGAGGTCCAAAATTAAGCTTTGTTTGATTTTAACAAAAAAATAATTTATGGGGGTTCTTTGATATGCTGAATCTAATTATGTATTTAGATTTTGGATTTTGGGCTCCGTTATCAAATTGGTTCACATTGAGGTCCAAAGGGTCCAAAATTGTGTTTGATTTCGTCAAAAATTGAATTATTGGGGTTCTTTGTATGCTGAATCTAACCATGTAACTATTTAGATTTTGGATATTGAACCATTTTTAAGTTCTTAGACCACATTAATTGTGTGTCAGAAACCTACGCTGTGTCAATATATAGATATTTAATCACAATCCAAATTGAGAGCTGTATTGCACAATTAATAGAAATATTTATTAGATACATAGTTAAAAATAGATATAGCATCATCAAATTCTAGTATTAGAAATTATGTATAAATTTACTTTGAAATTTACTATTCATTATTAGATATTTTGAAAGATAATTAAAGCTTAAAGTTAAGTTTTATAGATATTTTAAAGACATGGTATTAATGATGAAAGTTATTTTGGAAATTTTTTTTTTTTTTTTTTTTTTTGTAAATTTTTGTGGTGGGTTTGTTTGTTATTCTTTATAAATTAATTTTCAGAATGCTATATATATACTTTTTTATTTAGATGAAGCTAACCCCTATAAAAACTTAGCTAATATTTTCCGTTAATAAATAAATAAATTAAATTCTTGGTATACTTGTTTATGCTGAATCTGACCGTGAATTCAGATTTTGGATATTGGACCGTAATAGATAAAAGTCCAATTTGATATTTTTCAGTCTTTGACCACATTTATTTTGTGTCAGAAACCTATGCTGTGTCAAATATTTAATCACAATCCAAATTTAGAGCTGTATCAAGCTTGGATAAAGTGTCCACACTTGCCCCAACTGTCAGGGTTCGACCTCTGCGGTCGTATCAAGCTGCGCCCCGCGGAACATTTTATTGAAATATACAGTAAGTTACAGCTCATTTCATAATGCTAGCAAGACAAAGGTTTGTTTGGCTTGCTTGCTATGTTTGTATCAATGTTTGCTCAAGCCAGAGACATATATACTATGTATTTATATGTCTCTGCTCAAGCATTGTAATTAAGATAGACATCTGAAAACAACATAAAAAGGCGGATTTAAACTTGTATACATTATATTTAAATTTGATTGGACATTATCAAATAATCAAATTTACCTATACACAGGTTTAACTCCGCCTACTTATATTGTTTGCCAATGTCAATCTTAATTATAATGCTTGAGCAAACATTTATACAAACAAAGCAAGCAAGTTAAACAAACCTTTGTCTTGCTAGCATTATGAAAAGAGCTGTAAAGGTCACAAGACTCATATTTTGCAAATCAGTGGCTTAAAGTGTCGATTTAATTTGATATAATTATGGTCATGACTCAGTCATACAAATCCAGTTTTAAGGAATATGTCAGTTGTTCTGAGTAAAGTCGTTTGCTGGCTACAATTTTTAGAAACATACTTAGAAACTATAGCAAGGTATCAACATGTTATAAATGAACACAACTATAAAAGGGACATTTGCTGCCAAATTCATGCCCACCAAATTTGATTTATATTATACTAACACGTATAGCAGAATTTTTATTGAAAACAATTCATAGATTAAAAGTTTTAACGTTTTGTGTATATTTGGAACTGCAGATATTCTAAATTCCGTTTTATTTCATATCTAAAGAACAAAATAATGTAAATAATATTCTACCTGTATAAGAAGGATTTTTTTATGAGATGAAGCCGCCGAGTCATTTAACTAAATCGGTCTTCCTCATTGGATGATGAGCACATGATAATCAATCTTCAACTGAGGTCGCATGCATATAATGTCTCCTAATAGAGTGGTTTAATTGTCTTAATGTATCAGGTATAGATATAAGAAGATGTGGTATGAGTGCCAATGAGACAACTCATGTATTTTTAGTTTACTTTGACCTGGGACTATGATACTAATAGTATAATAGACACAGCTTTGACAAAATTGACCCAAGCTGACTGCCAATAGCGAATTAATTTTCAAATATTTCGTTCTTGAAGATGTTGAAGCTTAAATATAAATATTCCTTATTTTTTTCAAATCATACTGTCAAAATCGTAGCTAATGCCAATTTAGTACTCAAGTAGGACATTTTAGTATTTTTCCTCGCTTATTTTAAAATCAATACCATTCAATCATGCCAAAACTAGAAAAGATTTAACACCTGGGGGTAGGGATTAGTCCTTGCGTTTTCATTATGTATAAGTTTACAATTGTGTGTTAGTACGTGTTGTTTTAATATTTTTTAGATGTTCATTTCTTTTGGCATTTTTAAAAGCACTGCAATTATTTCATTGACAAGTAATAATGACCAATATACAACCGAATTGGTTTAACTGATGAGTGTGATTGCTTTCAGTATTTTATTAGGGATCCATGCCCAGTCAAACCAAATACCTTAATAGTGTTAGTTGCTGCTTCTTTGCTCAGTATCTAGTATTTAGGGGTAAGAGCAGAGCCTTGTTGCTTATGTTGATATGTTGTTCAGGCATATCTTGTGCCGTGGTGAGAATTATCCCATTACTACTTTTGAAATCAAATATACTACACCGAGGAAAAAGTGATCAGTATTCTAGAGTTTCTTATTGACAACATATTTTTTGAATTTGGAGGTAGACTTTTTTTACTATGGGAACGAACTGTGCGCCTGTCCTTATTTTCATACGAGTCGGAGTTCCTTCAGACACTTGTCAAAGACAAGAAGATCAAATAAGCCAGATCATTTAATTTCACATTCAAATATATTGGTGGTGTTCTTTCCATTAACAATCCAAAGTTTTCTGATTGGGTTTCATTAATATATCCTTCAGAACTAGAAATTAAAAAAAAACAAGACACGGCTTTGCATGTTTTTAACCTTTACTGTTAAGTCCATTTTTGGTAATATTCTCTTGGCGTGGCTCTACATTTATACGTGCTATTGGTATTATTGTGCTATGGTAATTTTTTGTATTCTTGTCTTTCATTTTTGCGTATGTGCTTTGTCTATAGCGTGTCTGTTTGACATAGTTGTTTGTTTTTATAGTGATTAAGATTATAACACAATGTTGACTGCTGTACCCCGATTGTTGATATTTTTACCTATTATGTTTGTTTGTTTTGCTCACACATTGTTGTCAATATAATGGAATTCTATGCGATTGTCATACAAGTGAGAGGTTTAGCTAGCTATAAAACCAGGTTTAATCCACCATTTTCTACACAAGGAAATGCCTGTAACAAGTCAGGAACATGACAGTTGTTTTCCATTCGTTTGATGTGTTTGAGCTTTTGATTTTGCCATTTGATAAGGGACTTTCCTTTTTTAATTTTCCTTAAGTTCGGTATTTTTGTTATTTTACTTTTTATGATACTTTGCAAATTTTGAGGGATACATACACGTTTTGACAAATATCTATAGTTTTTGTTAAAAGTCAACTTATTGTAAAGTGGTTCTAGTCCTGAATATACCTGAGATATTTGTGACTGAATGTTAAGCAAATGATCAATAAATTCATTCAGTCAAATTTGTAAATTCAAAAACTGCAACAGGCAAATCGGTTGAATTTAACCGGCTAAGTATTCAAAGTTTTGCTTGATAAATAAGTTTAAGTTGTCAGCACAAATATCGTTGAAACTATATCTGTATTTAAACAAAATTTATTTAGCTGCTGACTGGAGACTTGCAGGCATTCTAATCGTGGTGCCGATCAAGTGGCAAATAACAAATGTACATTTCGGCGGATAAGGGAAAACACGTTCAAAATCACGTGTGTTTTGTTCGAGCATAACTTAACAGATTCTTCGTTGGCTTACTCCAGTAATTGATGTTAACGGTACCAGTTTGCACCAGATGTTAACAGTCGTCCTGAATTGTATTTGATAACTCTCAGTGGGATGATATGTATACATTAGAACAACATTGTGTTTATTTGTTAACAACTTTATGAAAAAGTCACAAAATTTCCCCCCTTTGCACCATTTATATTTGATTTGTATTGTTTGTCGTTCATAGAAAATGGCAAGTTATTTTCACTCCATAAAGAGTGCCAATACCATTACATAAAATAAAAACAGAGGGTCATATATCAGCCATGCGAGAAATGTACAAATGTATGCTGTAAAAACTAGAACTACACGGAGTTACATGAACTGAATGTGAGTAATCCTGTCCCTGCATACAAGATATATCCCATGTTCTTCTGAAGGATATTTATGGATTTAGGTCTACCCTCAATAACACTTAAAATAAGTTATCAATCACCTCCTTCAAAAACAGTACTTTTCTTGTAAAATCATTCGGAAAGCTCAGATCCAAACGTGTGTGGAGCCTAAGATAACACATAATTATGTAATAGCCTTCTCTTGCCAATCCTTATTTACTTATATGCATGATGATGAAGGCAATGTAAAAACGGGACTGAACATCAGAAAATTACTTTTTAAAATATGTAAAATTAAAAAGGCTTCTTCAAATTAATTTAACAATTATAGATTAATATTTGTATTCATAGGCAAAATAAATAAAATAATTATGAAACTCTAGCTCTATGTCTTTCGTTACAATATTGAAATAGTGCCACTGGTCTCAGTCTCTGAGGGGAAGGCCATTGGAAAGCATGCATTGCTTCGGATTCTAAATATCTGTAATTGTTATATACCCTGAAAAGAAACAAAAATTAAACATAAATTGCTAGTAGTTTTATATCTCTGGATACAAAATATTTTTTTGTTTTTCTTACTTTGAAACATTCTAGCAATACCTTTGCAAAAATAAAAAAAAATAATAAAAATAAATTAAAGTCGTAGCGGTGGGTGGAATTTTACCAATTTACGCCCCCTTCCCCCGGACCCTGTTTGCCTTTCAGTTTAGCAATTAGGCTTATAATTACATTTTTATGATATAAGCATGCCATTACGAGTTTTAAAAATAAAGCCTTTCGTTTGTTTTTGTATATACATTTTTTAAACGTTGTCGCAGAGAGCATGTGTAGTTGGCGACTACGTGTTGCGTGTGTTTGTTTGTTGGGTGGTTAGAGCGGGTGATGAGGTATCTGATGAATTTTGATTTTCAGGTGCTGCTTGCTTAATATAAGAAGCTGACACAGATGTCTTTGGAAGGCCTGACAATATTCAATACCAAAGAACCAATAAAAAGAGTCTTTATTTCTTGAACGCAAATGATAGAGTGATGCTACTCAAGTAAAAAAGTGAATCCATGGATTTAAACTATTTCTCGGGTTTAGCCGAATCAAAAATTATTTTACAAAAATTTCATAGTAACAGAGACGGATTAGTATACCACGTGCTAAATCACGCCGTGTCACTGTGGTCATTTCTATTTACTTGTATTCATTTTTTTTACTAATAAAAACATCCTGATAACATAAAGTATTTATTTTCAAACCTTTACAAAAGAACTAATGGACATTACGTAATTTCATCTGTTGTCTTGCTTTTTTACAGACGAGATAATATACATATGAGAACGCCTGCGAATAATCTTTTCTTTGACTAATAAACATAAAAGTTACATTTCTGTTCTGCTTGATAATAAACTTAAAAGACAACTTCACACCAAAAACTTCAAAATGTTAAAGCAAAATAAACATGTGTGCGAAATTCTTGTATTTACAAAATTCAATTTCAAAAATGTCAAAACTATTACAGCTCTTTTCATAATGCTAGCAAAACAAAATGTTTGTTTGACTTGCTTGCTTTGTTTGTATAAATGTTTGCTCAAGCATTGTAATTAAGATTGACATCTGGAAACAATATGAGTAGGCGGAGTTAAACCTGTGTTTAGGTAAATTTGATTATTTGATATTTGATAATGTCCAATCAAATTTAAAAATAATGTATACAAGTTTAAATCCGCCTTTTTTTATGTTGTTTCCAGATGTCATTCTTAATTACAATGCTTGAGCAAACATTGATACAAACAAAGCAAGCAAGCCAAACAAACCTTTGTCTTGCTAGCATTATGAAAAGAGCTGTAATATCTTTCAGCAAAGTTCTGTGTAAAAATCTAAAGAATTTGATGCAATTTCTAACCATGACACAGTCATAGATGTTACATTTTATTGGGAAATAAAAGATAACTTTTGAGATGCATTCGCCAATCAAAGAGAGGCAAAATATACCAAAGGGATATTCAAACTCATAAGTCGAAAATATACTGACAACGCCATGGCTAAAAAAGAAAAAGACAAACAGAAAAACAGAAAAACAGAAAAACAATAGTACACAAAACTCAACATAGAAAATTACGAAATCGTAAGAAACCTCTTTTAATGTAATTATTGATAATAAAATTGTACTCCTCTACATGAGGTAGTGCTTAAGGTAAGGTTTTGATGCCCGTGCCTGCGACGTCGTAGTCGGATCACAGACTTTTAATAAAACTCAGTATATACTACTCGGTACAAATATACTAGTTTGTCTCGCGTCCTATAACTTTCGAATGCCTTGAAGTTAAAAAATATCATTAATAGCTGGGATTATTATTGCCCACTAGCATCGAGCCATCAGCAGGCAGTGTGGCAGGTGAGACTGATATGCCTGTCTGCAAGTTCAAGATCACAAAATTAGTCTAACTTTACATTGGTATATTTCATAAATAAAATCTCCGGTTGTTCATATTATTACTTTGAACTTTGTAACTACTTTGGCAACTGAAATTGATTCTATATTCTGGCGCAATCGATACATCAGAAAAATTATTTGGGACACATGATTTATCCCAAAATATATAAAATTGGTTGAAAAAGGACGACAGCCTCCTCGAATGCAGTTAAGAGTACTCAGTTAACTACTTTTATAATATTAGTGTTTTGATTGATTTACCATATATCATCATTTTGAATCAAAATGAAAACCCATCGTAGATATCTATTCTCTGAGAGATGTTTTATGCGTACACTATTCATAAATAAACGTACTTAGCATTTCTTTGATGGACTTGTATTTTCTTTAGCAAATCAAACGTTACATTTGTACATGGAACATGAGGTTCTCCGTAATCTATAGTTGTCCGACTAATAGGCGGGAGTTTTTCAGGATTCCGCCAGACGTCACCTCTAGTACTGAAAACCTGAATGTCGTTGTAATCTTTCAAGGTACGATGGTAAATGTCCTCGTTAATAGAAGGAAATACACTGTATTCTTGTTGGTTAGATGAACGCCATTGTATGTCTCTATGAGGTGGAATTACCTGTTAAATGAAATAAAGATGCTTATAATATTTTCTCGAAATTTAAATTGATATCTGACTAGGACCCTCAAGGAACTATAAATCAGGAGTAAGCGCAATCGCTGTCACAATTCCAATGAACAAACTTTATAAATATTCGGTTATATATAATTAGATGTAAAGTAAGGGTTAGTTTACGGTTTAACTTGGTTCCATAAAGTAAGTGAAGGGTTGGGGTTAGTTTAGGATTATAATTAAGGATAAGAGATGAGTAAAGGTTAGGTATATGGTAAGATTAAATTTAGAGTAACGTTTAGTAAGTTAAGTAAAGCTATATGGACTGGGTCCCGTAAAGTAAATAAATTTGCATATTTAAGTTATCCAGAGAGTATGTGCCGGATAAACGAAGTTATCTCTTATTAACGACATGTCACGCTTAACTTCGTTGTATGATTAAACGAATTTCCTTAAGCTATCGTTAGTTTACAATACTTTCGTTAATATTCAGGGACACACATCATACACGTTATGTAGGATAATTGAAACATACAGAAGTAACGAAATGCATCAATAACAAGACTATTACCTCTGCCGGAGACGGTGGAGATACAGATTTTTGTTGATATGATGAAAGTTGTGTACTATAATCCTGTGCGTAAGTAGACCTGTGACAAACTTCATCATTGCCAAAAGAAAAATGGGTAGCTTGAAGAGCAAGCTTTCTATTGCTCAGCATGGTTAGACGACAAATTCCATGTTCCAGTCGCAAACGTTGCTGGTTGGCAACGGCGACGCTATTCCTATTGTGACGTTATATCTTTTTAACGTTCAAGACAAAAAAAAATAAATGGATCTCTTTGATTTTGTTTGAATTTGAATTTAAAATTTAAATTTAGAACGAACACTGATACGTAAATTGCAATTGAGCATCTAAAATGATTTATAATTATTTTTTAAATGTTACCTGATAAATATTTCGTAAAACTGAAATGTTGATATTGTGAGAGCGAGATATATTTCAATTTTCAATAACATAACTTTGCTGTATTGTTTAATACTTTTACATCTAACTTTAATATGAAAAATAATTCATGTCGCTTCTTGAAAATGGCAGTTTATATAATTATATATAACGTTCGGTCATCTTTCAATCTCATCTAAATTGATTTCGGTTCATATACTTTCGGGTTGATGATGACTCGGTCTAAAACCTGCCATATGCCCTCAAACGTTACGCACGCTGTTCCTATAACCCCTAGGATTTAAAACAGAATCTTCGAAATTTCCTCCGCAAAACAAAATAAAAATGTTAGCAAACACGAACCACTATTAAAACAAATTCAGTATATGTTTTAAAATTATGTTTTTATAGCTCTTGATCATATACTAAGTAATATCTAGTATATTTGAGGATTAAAATAACAAAGCTATGTAAAAAAAAACGGATGTCCAACGTTACATTTATGAAAAACTGTTTTAACTCTTATATATAGTGATCCTATTTCTTATTCTCTGATCTTTCTGAAACTTGGCAGGAACAACGACATGTGTCGGTTCTCTGTGGCGTTAAAGCCGTTATTTTGCCAAATTTCATTTGACTTGGTGGCTGCATATTAAGCTTGAATAAGAAAAATGTCCAACGACGTTTTTCGTTAACTCAACGACTGAAAGTGAATTTTATAAGTAGATATAGCAGAAAATAAATAAAAAGAGTAACACAATAATAACATCTATCAAAAGTACAAATATTTGCCTCATTGTTCGTGAGTTCAAATATTGCAGATTCTATAAAATCTTCTCTACACAGTCGTTTTTCAAGCGGTAGCCATTTTGTCCAAGTTGATATTTCATTTTTCAAAGCAGTTTACGCGTATTTTTTAACTGATATTTCAATAAGTTATTTATAATTGATCAAAACAAAAGTTAGATACACGAAGAGTACAAAATGCCAAGATTTTTTTCTTATTAACTACATGTTTGGGTGTTAAAGGAATAAAATACTTCCACACATTACATAACGGTAGCCAATTTGTCCAAACGTCTGAAAACGTCGAAAAATCCGAAAAACGCTTATTTCCGACGTTACATGTGCTAAAGTTTCAATATTGCATGTTGCTATAGACTCCGGCCGGGGACATAGATTCGACACGGGTTAAATTTGCAATTTTTATTAATCGTTTATAGCTTTTAACGATTTATTTAAAAGAATGGTGAAATGGAAAAAAAATCTCATTACATGAACGAATACATGAACTTCGTTCAACTTTTACAAAGACAAATTGGAGACACCAAGACCGTTCTCTTAATGTAAAATGCGAATTTTAATTTATGTTGCGGAAGTACTCCGAAATAGATCATTTAAAGTCGTCACTTCAGTAAGGTGCATTCACCAATATTAAAAGACTTAATACAAGTCCACGGAATGTTTTACTTCGCGATTTGTCCTGCTATTCATGTTATAACTGTCGTGATGAAAGTAATTCCTGCACTAGCGAAGCCGGAACTTTTCGCCAATATAAACTTGTGCATGAAATGGAGGTAATTGAAAGACAAACAGCGACGAAAACCGTGTCATTGAATTAATAAAACCCGGGATTGTAATATTTTTTTTACGGACGATCCAGGAGTAGATTACTATATTCAAAATGTATATCAGAAGTTAAACAATTTAAGCAAGCAACTTTAGATGACTTGGGAAATAATTCTCAAGCCAAGGTTCAAGTAATTGAAGCGGTGTATTTCGACAAATTATGTGCCAGGGAAAATACAATTCTATTCAAATCAACCAAGGGTAAAAATGTTTCGATTTACTTGCAGAGTATCAGATATATTTGCATTTGGGTTGAATTAAGATATAGAAATTTTAAAATGACAGATGATTTGCACCATGAAATTAAACATCCTATGATAAAAGTTTTGTACATCTAAAACAATTAATTTATTTATGGAAAACCGTATACATGCACTTCCGTCCCATTTTTCCTTCCTACATTACTTGCGACAGTACTGCATTTTTCGGCGAAATAACTTAAAGGGTAAACATTAGTAAATCAATTTCCACAACTTGAGGTAATTTATGATAAAATGACATCACGAAAAGAACAGAACCAGAATCAACCAACAACATATAAAAAAACGAATAAAACTTGCAAAAATTAATCGAAGTCAAAAACCCTCTTTGACGCCGCATTTTTAGTGTAACGTCGTGTTGTAGGAACATCGTGCACAACGTTTCAGTGTCATGAAATATTTATTCAATATTTCTGTACTTACAATTCACCTCTCCGATGAATACGATCGATGAACATGGACGGGATGAACTTAAAATTACAATTATGAATTACTATTTCTATTTACTGAAAATGTAAAATTTCCCCAATTAATATCCCCTTGCATTATTCTTGTATAAAGTTTATCAAAAGACTATTAGGAAAAGAAAATAATGAAAAGAAAGTAATTAAATGTAGAAATAGGGAACGGTCATTTTATTTTTCAGACAATTTTATTTGTTTCTGTACGTTTGTATTTTCTTGTAGGAAATTCTACGTTTTCAATTTGGCGAGAAGCATCTGTTAATCAAATCAGTCCAACCTATGTATAAACAATGTGTCTCTTCTTAGAATTAATTCATAATCTATAATTATCATTGTAACATTTTATCATAATTTTAGAAGTGAGACAAATTTTAGTACCTTAAATTTAAAAACACAGACAAGGGAAATCTAGATTTCTGTTTTCTTACCGTTAAATTAGAAATCCATCATTCTGTGGGCAGCGGGGTAACGATACGTCTCTCACTCTCCTTTCTAAGTCTTGCCATAAATTCCATATTATGGTGTTCATGCCCCATAATGTAACAAATGAGGAATATTTCTATGGTCAATATGACAGCCAGAACCATACCAAATCTTCTTTGAGAACGAGATACTGTACACACATGCATAGTCACCTGTCATGTCTGTAGAAAATGACATTGGATGTCCATAGGCAGATGGTGTGTGTGTGTGAAAAATCTATAAAAATATCAACACATAATATAGTTAGGCAGATGGTGTGTGAAAAATCTATGGAAATATCAATACATAAAACTTCATTATTCATAGATATTTGGATCGATCGATGTTGTCGTAATAGGACAAGAATCAATATATTAATAGAATTTTGTTGTAAAATAAAATTGTTAATACGTCTTTAATTGGAAGTAGTTTGCTGAATAATAATATTAGCTGCGATTTCGGAAATTGAAATTAAAAACAATCTACACGTGTTTCAAATATTGTACATATTTCAAATGAAGAAAAAATATTTCTGAGAAGTTGAAATAATCGGCGAACTTTCGTTGAAATTTATGATACTAGTTTCTTCCTGTTACCTTTTTTTTTTTTTACCAAAATTTGCATAATTTCTTTAAAAAAATTAAGATTTGTGTCCGGTCTTAATTTTGAAACTAGTTGTTTGATGAAGTATCTGTGTTTTTGTCATCACACTTCTTATTTCTAGTGAATAAATCACTCCGCCCGCCATAAATCGCTCAGTATAATAAAAAAAAGAAAGGATATGGGGTGTCCATCCATGACACAAAATCAGTATGTGCACAGCAAAAAAAAGCAAAGGAATAGCGCTTTTATTGCTGTTCTTTATCTCAAAGTTACAGTGATCCCTTCAACACGGAGAAAAAAATTAAAAAAAAAAAATCTCACCACACTGCATGTTTAAGACGGCCCCTAGCACCGATTTGAGCGGAATTCTTTGAAAACTGACGATCATGCCACAACTGTGAATTGAAGAACAAAGTCATGGAGCTATATCAATGATATAAATCTGGCAAAGAAATCAAACATTTACTGTTATAATTTAGACAAACAATCACACTGAAGCGTGCAAAAAACCCAAAACAATACAAACATTAAAACAACCAAGACTTGGCAGGAAATAACGTATTCATAGGGAAAACAATTCGGGTTCACTATGTAAGATGTAACACCACCAACTTGGGCCCGGTCAAAAAGAACATACTAGGCGAGTGACAATTTTCAAAAAGACGCTTAGTTAACGACTTTAATGCACCCACCTAACATACGGCTATATTATATATCATTCGAAAGCTTATTACCTGTACTTTCATTTTTGCCCGGTCGTCAATAATTCGTACCGTGCAATTTTCGTTAAATCAAGGTCAAAGGTCTAAACTGAGCATTCCAAATGTTTGCTATAATTACACAAAATGCCATTTTCAGGTACTTGTATGGCATTTTATTCCCTAAAATTGATCTTAACCTTATAAAACAAATTACCATGATTTCAAATCAAGTGCAAACTTAAATGTTGATTGCGCTATATTAACAAAAAATTGCATTTCTTGAAAAAAACTTCCAAAAATGATAAAATTGCAATAAAATCTAAATGTTTTCTGAAATTTGAATATTTGTATGTCAAAAATAGAATAGATTAATTGTTTATGGACCGAGGGAATTTTTTCATCATTTTAAACTGCAATTAATATGATGTAGGTCCAGATGCAGCCTTCTAATGAAGCTTTTGTAGTTGCCCCAAAAAACACCATCTGCAAATAGGGATCATTTAGCTTTTTTTTTGCTAGATAATAGGAGGGGTCCTGATCCCGAAATCCCGGGCTTAAAAACATGAAATCCCGAGGTCCCGAATTTAAAGAAATTTAAATCCCGACATCCCGAAATTCAAAAAAAGAATTCCCGGATCCCGAAATCCCGAGCTTAAAAACACCCGATCCCGGAGTCCCGATAAAGGTCCGACTCCCCCCCCCATATATGGATTGGCGATAT